TGTTTGCATGGCTTTTAGGTGAAGTTGCCTGAAGGACTAGGATGGAGGGAGTCAAATCAGGAGGATGAAGGAAGTAAGAGGTGATGACAAAGAAGGTATAGGAAGAATAGGAATGGAAGAAAAGAAAGAAAAAGGAAAAAAAGAAGTGGTATGGAAGAAAATAAGAAGAGGATCGGCACATAGAAACGAAGAAGAAGGAGAAGAATGAGGAGGATGAAGAGAGGAGGAAAAGAAGAATGAGGAGGAGGAGAGAAGAAGAAGTAGAAGGAGGAGATGAGAAGAAGAAGAAGAAGAAGAAGAAGAAATATATGGAAAAATAAATACGAGAAAAAACAAAATTATGAAGAACAAAATAGAAAAACAAACATTTTCTGAAGGAAATGAAACAGAAAAATAAGTAAAAAGAAGAAGAAGAATATGAAGCAGAAGAAGAAGAAGAAGAATATGAAGCAGAAGAAGAAGAAAAAGAAGAATATGAAGCAGAAGAAGAACAAGAAGAAGAAGAATATGAAGCAGAAGAAGAAGAAGAAGAAGAAAAAGAAGAATATGAAGCAGAAGAAGAAGAAGAAGAAGAAGAAGAAGAAGAAGAATATGAAGCAGAAGAAGAAGAAGAAGAAGAAGAAAAAGAAGAATATGAAGCAGAAGAAGAACAAGAAGAAGAAGAATATGAAGCAGAAGAAGAAGAAGAAGAAGAAGAAGAAGAAAAAGAAGAATATGAAGCAGAAGAAGAAGAAGAAGAAGATGATGATGATGGTGATGATACTGTACTAAAGAAGGAAAATGTGGGAAAATAAATACAAAAGAAAACAAAATTATAAAGTATAAAAATAAAAAGCAAGAAGTTTTCTGAAGAAAATGAAACAGAAAAATAATTACAGAGAAGAAGAAGAAGAAGAAGAAGAAGAAGAAGAAGAAGAAGAAGAAGAAGAAGAAGGGGAGATAGAAGGAAAAGTAAATGAAGGCGATATGGGCGGAGGCAAAGAAAAATAATCATAAAAGTGAATAAGATGAAAGAGATTCTATAAAAGACAGCAATGAAAACAAAAGAGAAAGAAAGAGAAAAAGAAAATAAAGAAAGTGATGAAGAAAGAAAGAAAATTATTCAGTAACAAAATAAGAAAAATATTTTTTAAAAAAGAATTTTTTTTTTTCTTAAGGTTAAAATATTTTTTTGTCGGGCGATATCTTTTTTCCTTCTGAATTCATTCCACTTTGTTCAACTGGAAGAAAAATATCGGGTGATTTTAGCGAGGGAGGTGACTTCAACTCAGAGTAGAATGGAACTCACAGAGAATCCATGATGCTACTCGGAAAAAAGGGGAGATGGAAGGCTCTAAAATGTAGAAAAGATTGTAAAGGACTATAAAAGACAGCTGAAATCTCGCCCGATAGACTTATTAACAGGATTAATCTCTTTGAGTGTCGAGGATAAGGATTTATCATTATTTCCATTGTTTACATTGGGAATCTTGTCCTCATCTGTGTTGCTATTATCGCAACGTTTTGGCAATTGTGATCTCCGGCCTTCATCAGGTACTTACTCTATACGTGTAACCTTCAGAGAATTTCGACCTGAACCTCATGCGATGTAATATATAACGGAATGAGAAATCGGAGAGCCGCGTTCGAATTCAAGTCAAGTTCATTACATTCACTTACGCGCAAATACTCTCGGAAAAGATATGGTTCCATCTCTTCAGTCCCCAGCTATGAGTTGAATAGCAGGATAGACTGGGTCCCATAGCCTTGGTTGGCAACCAGTCTAGCGCAGAAAGAAACGACAATCTACTGCAGAAAAAACCTAGTTAGTCATGAATAGGAAATGCTATGATCGTCCAAATGTGCATCATGTATCACTTAACTGACTGATAACAGGAGCCGTGTATTTCATCCACTAGGGCTTGGGAACATAGTAATTTTGAGTTCAATCTCTAACCAAAACAGTGCAGACTTAGACTCAGTAAGGGGCATCTCGAGGCGTTGTAATGGTTAGCAAACTCGCTAGAACAATTACGACTGAGTAGTGAGTTTGACCCTCAATGGGTGTCCAATAATTTCGGCCTTGTGCCACATCTAAGCTATGCTGTGAAAATCACTATTCAGTATTTGTTTTCCAGCGTAGGTTTGAGCAAGTACCAAAACGTCGAACTCTCTGCTTTTCGGTAGAGAGGAACCCAGACGAGAATATGTCGAAGGGCATAGCCACGTCTGGGGAGGTAGACAAACCGATGTATCCGGGGTCTACGGGGAAATTTTACCCGAGACTACGGGCTCGGCTCGGCTCGGCTCGGCTCGGCTCGGCCAACATAAAAATTGGACTTGTGCTACATCCTGCCTCGCGGGGAACTCGAGTAAATACAGGCTTTTGAACTGAGAAAGTGAATGTATACAGCGGGCAGTTTAGATATTTCTGAACGAGTCTGGTGTCTCGCATCAGTCAGTAGAAGCAAGGTGAGCAAGAGGTAAGCAATACTACATAAGAACAAGACGTGATATTCCTAGGCATGGACATTGGAACAAGAACAATTTTCTCCCGTTGGTTAAATAAGGAGGATAGTTTGAAGTTCCCTGATGGTTACCCGGGTCGAAAAGCACCTGATAAAGCCCGAGTATACAACGGCCAAAACAATGAGATAATAACAACAAAGATGAGGACACTGGTTATATTAGATCTTTATTTTTTAAGGAAACATTAGTCATTCATTGACCGAGCAATCAATGCTACTGACGACTGAAATTTTTCCCGCCTTTCTCTTAAAACGTTTCTCAAGTCCACTAGCTGTTATCACTCTTTCCACTATTGATGAAGGTTTCCTTCCTAACCTTTTATTTGAAGTAGTGTGGAATCTCAACATCTTGATTATGTCATTATTATCTCTTCTCAAGTCCAGTAGCTGTTATCGCTCTTTCCAGTATTGATGGAGGTTTCCTTCCTAAACCTTTGTTTCAAATAGTGTGTAACGTTAACATCTTGATTATGTCATTGTTTTCACTTCGTTTTACATGCGATATTCATTTTACTTGTTCTTGCTGTTGAAACGTAGTCCTGAGTATGACGATAAACTATTTCCAGCAGCAAGGCCTCTGATCGGAAGATTGGATGTTTTGAGCATCGTGGAACCACCTCTTAATTAGTTTTGTTCCCAGGTCTACCTTGAACAGGGGTGATAGCACTTGTTGGGATCCCAACTATGGGTAAATAGTGAACCCCCAAATAAAACAACATGGAAGCTGAAAAAGTCTACTTTATAGTAAAAATACCATTAATACATTTTTATATAAAAAATACCAACAATGCTTATTTATAGTAAAATGACTAACAATATATTTTTACATCAAAATGACCAATAATACATTTTATCTTTAGTTGAAGGCATACAATTGCGTTCAAAATATATTGAAACCATAAAATTTTCAAATTATTTAGATTTCGCCATTAAGTAAACCATAGAGATTGATATGTCGCTAAAAAAAATCAACAAACGCACCAATATATAGAATTTACATATCTTAATAAATATTCTATATATATGGCACTATAGTTTGTGATAATTTTAGCAATGCTGATCTAGATGGAGATAACTGAATAGTGAGTTCATTCCTCAATTGGTACTACATATAAATTCGGAGAAGGAGAACAAGATACGTTATTCCTGGGTATGACGATAAACTACATCCGGCAGCAAGGCCTCTGGTCGGGAGATTGGAGGTTTTGTGGAGCGTGGAACCAGCTCTTAATTCCTGTTGTTTCCAATTCCACCCTAGCCCGGGGTAGTAGTGAACATCCAAAGAAAAACACTATGAAAGTCTAAAAATATATTTTTATTTTCAAAACAATACATATTTATGTCCAACAATACATATTTATAGTAAAATTACCAACAATACACTTTTAAAGCAAAATAACCAAAAATATATTTTACCTGTATTTAAACGCATGCAACTGCGCTCAATATAGGTAGATTCCGGCATTAAATAACCCATACAGGTTCATATGCCTCTAAACAAAATCAACCAACTGTTGAATGTTCTTAAAGGATGTGGTTTCTGTTATTTGGAACAGTTCTTTATTTAGGTTTCTGTAACGCCAGTTCCCTATGTTCGAAGAATTATGGTCATCGCTAAGATCTACAGGCTTTTGAACTGAGAAAGTGGATGTATACAGCTGGCTGTTTAGATATTTCTGAACGAGTTTGGTGCCTTGCATGACATTCACATGAAAATCTAGATCTGGCAATCTTTATGACTAGAGTTTTTAGACTAATCTTTTCGTTTTGTATCTATTTGTGGTGTTGGAAGAAACTACCCATAACGCAGCCTATTCGATGATCAGACGTGCTGTGGCTTCCCTCTGTCTTTTCTACAAATATTTCCATATCAACTGCTCCAAAGAGCTACTTTCAATGGTACCCCAGCTGCATGAATTTAAGCGTGGTACTAGGTCCCACCCTTTGAATGTCGAAACAGTTAAATGTAACCGCGCTTCTACACCAACAGCTTCTTCTCTTACACTTCCCGACAGTTGATCTCTCTTTCTCCTACTTGCTTCCCTGATAGCTATAATCTTCAAATGTTCAAATGTAATGTCAATTGACATTTTCGATGCATTGATCCCGATCCCCGTCCTTCTCTTTATCCTTTTCTCAAACAACACCCCTCTTTACTCTTGCTCTCACTCTCTGTAACCCCTTGCGTGCTAGTGACACGCCTCCTTGCTCGAGGCGAAATACTTTAAAAAAAAATCTAATAAATAAATATTAAAAATATTACTCGACACGTGAGTAAAAAAAAATTTAAAAAAACACTAATAAAAACAAACATTTAAATGTAATATCAATCGACATCTTCTGATGCCTTGATCCTGATCGGGGTCCTTCTCAATAAGCTTTCCTCAAACAACCGTCTTTACTCTTGCTTTCACTCTCTGTAACCCCTTGTATGCTAGTGGCATTCCCACCTTGCATGGGGTGAAATGCTTAAAAAAAAAGTAACATAAATTTTTAGAATGCTCCGAGATTAATCGACAGTAAGAGTTTCCTGGCTTCCTGAAAAGTAATATTGTAGGGATAGATAGATAGATAGATAGATAGATAGATAGATAGATATTGAACGAACTGTGATAGATAGATAGATACATAGATAGATAGATAGATAGATAGATAGATAGATATTGAATGAACTGTGATAGATAGATAGATAGATAGATAGATAGATAGATAGATAGATAGATAGATATTGAACGAACTGTGATAGATAGATAGATAGATAGATAGATAGATAGATAGATAGATAGATAGATGTTGAAACATCAGACATTTTCCGCTATGTAATCCCGGTTGTGTTGCTTGAATACGACTTCTCATCTCGGTGGTTGTGTAAAGAATTGAAATCGAATGATTTGTATAATAGAACTGTATACATGATGTGGACATTTAAACATCTCTTACTGGAGAGCTTGTTGTCATGATTCAGTAATGTGTTCGTTCTTCATTGAATCTCCTACTAAACAAAGGAAACGTTGTAAATGTTTATTAACTTACCCAGAGCAATAGATCACTCACGATAACTCTCTGGACGCCTAGCCATGGAACAAGACGGGTTAATCGCCCAACAACCACATTCATTCCAGCTATGTCGTGTCCGCAGTGAGAGTCACCCGCGGTTAGAATCATAAATAAACAATTGGTACGTTTTACTTCTTAATGAACCCTCAACAATACAAGAGTAGTGGCCCTTGTAATTAGAATATGCCACTGAGAAGCCTTGGTGAATTTTTTAAATGGAAAGTGTAAATCCTCGACTTAAGAAGGAAAGAAAAAGTCTATGACGAAGTAAAACCTATGATATATATATATATATATATATATATATATATATATATATATATATATATATATATATATATATATTCATGAATTATTCACACAAAAACAAATGCAAAGGTTAATGATTTAATTGGCGAGAAATCCATCGTCGCAAACAATTCAAATAATATACAAAAACCTCCGAATCCGTTATGAATGAAATGATACTTGTTTCTATAAATTTCTGCCGTATTAGTTCTTATTTTTACTACAAGCTTTCGTCTGTTCCTACAGACATCTTCAGGTATAGAATAGATGTTGTTCTTGTTTTTTCTCTTAGTAATAAGAGGACAACGAAAATATATGTATTGTTGTATCCGAAAATGCTATTGAAAATGAGTTATTGTCTTTGGAGCGCGCAGTAGCAACGCTGAGTTTGATTTTTTGACAGAAAATTTACCAGTAAAAAATTCGTTCATCACCATATTTGTATATGAACGCACAACCTTTAAAAATTTAAAATCAAACTATAAAGTGAGTTCATGTCGATGTCGGGTTTAGAAATTTAACTGTTAAAATCCGACACGAACGTGGAGTTGAATAAGACCGACTAATTTCGTCGGTTGAAATCAGCCTATTCCCCATATGAATTGTTATTGTGCCTAATTATATATATATATATATATATATATATATATATATATATATATATATATATATATATATATATATATATATATATATATATATATATATATATGTGTGTGTGTGTGTGTGTGTGTGTGTGTGTGTGTTAAAAAACATATTTGGTTGAATAACATCGACAATTTCTGTCAATCCAATTTTTTTTTAACTTTTTCAAATTTCTACTAGATCATCCAGGAAAGGAATTCTATTTTTACTGTCGAGTTCATAAGCGAATTGTAGAATTAGCTTACTTTCAAATTCTTCTTTAACGGTTTTAATGTCAACATATCTTGCATTTATTGAGGGTTTGTTGAAATTATTTAAGAGCTTGTTTTCTACATGGTCCTTGTACGCATTAAATAAAGCCATGCCCAGAAGTGAGACCATAGCTACATCCTCACTCTGAATGTTATCATAGTGAAGCGAAAATGGTATTTGTGTGGTGCAAGACAGTAGGAGTTGAGTAAAATATTTGGTCTAATATTAAGGTGTGACCGTGGGGATTATATTCATACTATCTTGCACCACACAAGTACCATTGTAGATCACTACAGTAACTCATTTCAATCTATTCAGTTTGAAATTCAGCAAAATATTTACTCATTGGAAATATTAAATTTAATGTTCAAAATTTAAATGCAATCTCAATCCTTATTTTCTGTCTTATAATTTTTATTCTTTTATTGTCCTCTCTCGATAATCGTAGTTTTTATTTTTCATATCCGCTAACGCTCAGTAACCCTTCGCGTCCAAGTGATTTTATTCCCTAGCTTGGGGTGAAATTATTTTTAAAAATTTATCAGCTTCAAATCCAAGCTAAAATAAGTTTCAATATGATTTTTAAAAATGCATTTTAAACTTAAGGGCATCGCTTTTCATTGTAGAGATAGATAGATAGATAGATAGATAGATAGATAGATAGATAGATAGATAGATAGATAGATAGATAATGAACGTACTAAGACACATCAAGATAGATAGATAGATAGATAGATAGATAGATAGATAGATAGATAATGACAAGACTTGCAGAGACAGATGGTCAATCAATCAATCAAATCACGTTGAAGGCACAGGTTCCCGTTTGATTACCGAAGTTAAGCAATATTGAGCCTGGTCAGTACTTAGATGGGGGATTGCTTGGAAACACCCGGTATTGAAAGCAATAACGTAGCTTGTAGCTTCATAATACGATACGGGTATTAACCACTATTTACAGTGCCTTAATATCAGACTAACCGAATCGTATCGTATGCGGCAGGGGTTCAAGGTTGCCTGATCCTGAGAGTTTACATATTACAGTGCAAGGTATGTGTGACTATAAACAATCGCGAAGGTACCATCAGTTTTTGCCTATTCCTGGACCACCGAGTCCAACGAGTGGGAAGTCATCATGAATCGATGTATGAACAAGAAAAAAAACTACGTACAGTGTCCGGTTTTATTCACACTTCAGGCATCCACTGTGTATCATGAAACGAAACCTATACTGACAAAGAGGAATATTATTACAACGATTTTGATCCTCAATGTGTGCCTCACGGTTGTTGACTTTGCCAGATTAAAATAAGCATAGAAAACACATATACCACGTTAACAATGTTAAATTTTAAAAGACAGTAAGTCGATCCAACAGAAGAAAACGTTTGTCTTTCGAAAATCATATTGACGTTTGGAGTAACTCATAAAAGAAAGCCTGATAAAGAACAACAACAACAAGTCTTTTGGCGCCGACTGCTCTTTCCTACGCTTAATTTTCTTGGCTTATTTTCTTATAATTTTCTTTAAAGTGCGTGTTTTTCAGATTGGAAGATATTAAATACAAACAGTAAAAAAAAAAAAGACCGAGAGATTTAAACGATAAGAAAGACTGGATTTTACTGTATTCATAAAAAATAAAAAATATGACATATATTACATCATGCATTACATCATAATTAAAAAGATATTAAGTAAAAACACTTGTATTTGCACACACACACACACACACACGCACGCAGAGAAATGCACATATATATATATATATATACTACTACTGTACTGATGCGGCATTTACCCTGGGTGGATTGAGCCGGCTTCTTCCTGTTATGAGAAGAAGATTCTTGGGATAAATTACAGAAGTAGGGTACCCAGGCCTACTCGGATAACGTTCTTGCTTGCCGCGGATTCCCACAGACGCAGAGACAGGAACGACCAGAAGCCGCCGGTTACCGATGCAGACGCTCCTTGGATTTTCACCAGAGCCCTTGTTAGCCGGCGTTGTGTGTCAGACCTGTCCGCCTTGGGTGGCCCTACCAGGAACGAAGTTCCGGGCGGCATAGCTCGACACTACCGTTTACACCCCCCCCACCGACTGTGTGGTAAAGGTTGGACTTTGGGGGCTTACAGTACCAGGTGTTCCCAAGCGGTCCCCCATCTAAGTACTGACCTGGCTCTACGCTGCTTAACTTCGGTGATCGTACGAGAACCGGTGTTTCAGCGTGATTTGACCGTAAGCATATATATATACACGAGAGTTCAAACGTTTGGGGAAAGCCCTGGTAATTTTTTTAAAATTGTTTCAAACAGTTGTCTTATTATACGAATTATGAATTTAAACGTGCTACTAGATTGGCATATCGGTCCCACCCTTTGACTGTCGAAACAGTTAAATGTAGCCACATCTTCTACTCCAACAGCTTCTTCTCATGCACATGTGAAACTCCTTTCCTTCTTAAGAAAATTCTTATACACGTTTAAAAGTGAGACATTTTTTTCTTAGAAATATTATTATGTCGAAAAGACAAAAAGGAATTTTATGATTAAATTTTTCTCTCGTCAAAATATCCTCCTTTAGCCTTGATTACTGCAGCACAAATTTTCAGCATTCGTTGCAAAAGTTTCTCAAAGTATAAGTTCGATAATTGATTCCATTTTTTTTTTTTTTTTTTGTCAATAACTCTAAGACCACTTTTTCATCATTTTTTTTTACTCTGCTATGAAGTTCATCCCATGCTAATTATTTAGGGAGTGGCTCCAAACTTTTGAACTATATATATATATATATATATATATATATATATATTAACACCCAACACACGCCTACCCAATTTAAACAATTCGCCCTAGCTGTTACCATGGAAATTTTGATTTCAATTATTAAAACACGTAAATTTCAGAAATACGTTATTCCAAAAAAAATTTCGCTTGAAGATGGAACACAGCTTACTTTAATTCAATTTAATTCAAATAATTATATTGAAGTTTTCGTCTCTTCTTTTGAAACATGAGACCTCTTATGTAGCGTGTTGGAATCATATTTTTAAATAAATAATTATATTTATGCTCTACTTTTGTATCGAGCACTATATTTTAAAAATATATATATATATATATATATATATATATATATATATATATATATATATATATATTAGGTGCATTTGGACACAAGTTTGGATAAAAAACCAACGAAAGTTATTTGTTAAGGATTTTGATGGTGTATTTTTTTTTTCCATATTTTGGGCTCTATTTTTCCGGTGAAAATTTAAATATAAATGTCTGAATTTGCATGTCTGAATATTTTTGGCCTTCATAAGACAATATAAAAGTGTTTTTGTTTGCGCTATGCCGGTTTCATCGTTTCTCAAATACTAAATCACCACGTGTTATATCGGTTTCTTCAAATATCGCGTCTTCACGTGTTTTTTTTTTTATTATTATTAGTTTCTATATTCGTTTGAAGGAATGCACATCATCTATACTCCGATTATTTTTCTCGAAAGCTACATTGCTGCTAAGTTTCATCACCAAAACACAAGAAAAACAATTTCTAAAGAACTGATGGATTTATTTTTAATCCGGCAAATTTATTAGTTCAAAACTATTGGCTTGTTTAACTTTCACAATACTAAATTGAGTAGATACTAAGCTTTTTAGAAAATAATCTGAACACACAAACATACTCACACACACACATACATATATATATATATATATATATATATATATATATATATATATATATAGAGAGAGAGAGAGAGAGAGAGAACATGAAGACAAATAGAAGCACTTCGTCCAGACTGGCTTAGCAACAAATTTAACAACATAGAATTAATTTATAAGCCCATAAATCAAGCCTTATCCACATTTTTCACCCACACAAGACAGACATGCTTCTAGAGTTGTTGAGGCCATACACTTATACACACCCTCATACCAATATATAGACAGACAAACATCATACACATTCCCAAAGAATAAAAAGATAACATACACATAATACACACATCCCTCTGCCAGAAACCAATAAAACTATCAAAATGACCAGGAAAAAAATTCTGTGACTCTATCTTATCCCCAGCCTCTATCGCCAGCCTCTATCTTAAAAACAACTTCACTGCTACTAACAAGCAGAAATGTTTTTCTCCTAAATTTTCTTTCTCCTGATGATGATCATGCTGGCCGAAACTAATCGAGGAAGCTAATTTAAATAATAAAACAAAAAATATTAATATACAACCCAGTGTGACAGAAAATCTTATTTTTTTCAATATGTTTTTTATTATATATATATATATATATATATATATATATATATATATATATGTGTGTGTGTGTGTGTGTGTGTGTGTGTGTGTGTGTGTGTATGTATATAAATATATTACATACAACGTTTGAAAGCGATACCGTGCCCTAGTCAGACGCCAACCAAGGGAGGTAACAGAGTCTCAGTGGTTAAGGTGGTACTGCCATCCCTGACGCCACCAGCAGCTTTTACCACCGGACAGTTTGTTTGTTTTTTTTTCATGTAGACGTGTCACTCTCTGCAAGTCAGATTTTCAACGTCATGTTAAAAAGATAAAAAAAATAATAAAAAAACAAATGAAAACTACAGACAAAAGTTCATTTTCTCCATCAAGACATTCATTTCTGTAGTTCACTGCTACCAGCAAGCAGAAATATTTGTTCTCCTGATGATGGCCATTTTGGCCGAAACTAGTCGAGGAATCTAAATGGAATAATAATAATAAAAACGAAAGAATATTAATCTACAACCCAGTGTGTCTGAAAATTTTAATTTTTTAATATTTTTTATTGTTCAATATATATATATATATATATATATATATATATATATATGATGGACTCTCCCGTCGTATTCGACGTATGAGGGTCAAGCAGCTTAGTTTCTCGGAACCAACAGCCAGACACCAGTACATACGATTTGATCATAGGGGTGAAGTTTTTGTGCATAACCAACCACACTTTTTGAAGGGCCAAATACAGAGACCTGACGCACTATGTGCCACAAAGTCCCCAAACGACCCTCTGTTAGACCAGTTGCCATCCAAGGCTATAGAACCCAGTTTGTCCTACTATTTACCAATAGCTGGAGGAAGAAGAAGGGGATTAATATATTTCCCAAGGGTATTAGTGCGTAAATGAATGTAACTCGGCTCTCCGATTCCTCAATCAGAGCTGCTATCTACCACTATCACTCACACACACACACACACACACACACACATATATATATGAAAAAATATAGTTTTTAGGTGTGTTATATTTATGGGATAAAGTGCTCAATGTCAGAGATAGAGCGTGTGTAAATATGAATATATATGTCATTTGCATATAGTACTGTTTCGCTGCATCACAACTCCTCAGTGCGACTAGAAATCCAATGCCTCAAGCTAGGATTGAAACCCAACCGATTTGGTGCTAGACTTTCTACCACTGAGCTATCTTCATTTGACAGAATGAGCTAGCTAAATCTAGCGTATAGTTTTTACGAATGTAAACAAATGCCAATCAGCCATTCATTTTACTGAAGAGCTTTGCATTAGCGCAGGTGGCTATAACATATATATATGTGTGAAACCCAGGGTCACAAACTCACATCAATCCAACTATATATATATATATATATATATATATATATATAGCTAACCTCGAGATGCCCCAGTGATTTTCCAAGTGTAGCTTGGATGTGGCTCAAGGTCAGAAATATGGGGCACCCAGTGAGGTTCAAACTCGCTACTCAGTCGTAATTGTTCCAGCGAGACAAGCTTGCTAACCATTACACCACCTCGAGATGCCCCAGTAATTTTCCAAGCATAGCTTGGACGTGGCACAAGGCCGAAAGTATGGGGCATCCAGTGAGGATCGAACTCAATACTTACTCGTAATTGTTCTAACAAGACAAGCTTGCTAACCATTACACCACCTCAAGATGCCCAAAGCCTGCTTTATCTACGACAAGGAAGAAAACTAACTCCGAATTCGTCCGTCTAAATGCTAGGTACCTAATTTATTACCCAACTAATTACCTAGAAGTGGCTTAGTGAGGCCATGTTTTCTGTCTAAGAATAATCCCCATGTGATAAGAATAATCTTAATTCCCCGCACGATTTTATTCTGACAGAGTCTATTTGAACTCATACCAATTAAAACTTAATAGAGAATACTGTCAGTCCTCTAACACACATATTAGGAGCTAATCCTACACTTAATCTTACCGATTTTTACTTCGATCTTTAATTTTCCGGTCCTGCTTAAGAGATGAAAGGATAAATTGCAGTAGGAGTGAATATCTTGACACGTGCAGCGAACGAATTGGAGAAACTTTTCATCGTAAACCTCTCCATGAGGATTCTCGACTGACAAGAACATTATCCCCAACACTGTATCTACTACTATAAACTTTAAGTTGAACCGTTATTTAATTTTGGTTATGCTTTGACCAATGGTTTCGCATCTACGATTTTTTCCCTATTGCTTATCATTCATTTTGACAATAATCTTATGCTATATATATATATATATATATATATATATATATATATATATTAAATATATATATATGTGTGTGTGTGTGTGTGTGTGTGTGTGTGTGTGTGTGTGTGTGTGTGTGTGTGTGTGTGTGTGTGCGCGCGCGCAAATATATAGAAAAATAGGAAAGAAAACGTTAGGTAAATTAACCGAAGTTCTTTAGTATTTTTGTTTTTATTTTTAAAAAAAAAGTGCTCAATACAAAAGTAAAGCCAAAATGATAATTATTTATAAAAAAAATATGATTGCTCCGCTACATAAGAGTTCTCATGTTTCAAAAACGGGAACCCAAAACTTCAATGTAATTATTAAAATTAAACTGAATTAAAGTATCAAGTTTGTTTATCCTCAAGTGAAATTTTGGAATCAAATTCAAAAATTTCGCTTGAGAATGATTTTTAAAAAATAATTATATATATATATATATATATATATATATATATATATATATATATATATATATTAAAATGATCTGCTTTTTAAAATCAGATTAATCTTTCACTGCCAGTAGTTTAATATCGCCTGAAGAGACACATTTATAGTGTTGAACCATAATTGTAATTGTGTAGCGATTTTTATAACATATTTTAATATCCTAAAATAAATAACATTTAGCTCTACTATAGATTTGAGAACTCTTTTAAATTAAATGTTACGTAGAGTGGAATCATATTGCATTTCTTCTCATTTTACTTGTATATATATATATATATATATATATATATATATATATATATATATATATATAACTTTGTAAAAAACATAAACTCTCATTCTTAGATGTTCTCACAGAATATAGTAATAAACACTTTTATGACCTCGTAATATAAAAAAAACATTACCAGAAACTCTTGCCACCTGAATTTTAATGCTCACTCAGATACAAAAAAGCAGTAATAAAAAAAAAAAACTTCCTTAAAAGAGCACACCAGAATTCATCCTCCCGACAACTCTTTCTTAAAGGACACAATAATGTTAAACAGACATTAATTAACAATGGCTTCCCTAAACACCTTACAGACCACCAAATTAGACAATATCTCCGAAAAGTAAATAACAACGATAGTGAATATACAGTCAAAATTTACATAAATATATGTATGTGTATTCGTGTGTGTGCGTGTGTGTGTGCGTGTGCACACGCGTGTGTGTTTATGTAAATTATTTTCAGATTGACTGTATCTGAAATGGAACAAAATGAATAAAAAGAGACAAGAGGAAAAGCTATATTTAGCCGATGTGTTTCGTATTCTGTGGGACTTTATCAAGGAAAATGTAAGGATTTATTTTGTTGCATGTGTACGTCATACTAGAGCAAGGGTGCCATTGGTTAATCAAGGCTTTTTAAATTTGCGAACATTCATGAATATTGATCAGGTAGTTGAAAGGTAAGTCAAAACATGTGAACGACACAAAGGGCCATAATTCAAAGTCTGGTAACAAAAGATATATATATATATATGTGTGTGTGTGTGTGTGTGTGTGTGTGTGTGTGTGTGTGTCGGTGGACGAATATTTTCTGTGAAAATTTCTCAGGCATTCAGGCCGGTAAATGTTGTTAATACTGTTTATTATCAACAGAGCATTTACTTAAATATTTGTATCTATAAAAAGAATGTATAAACATAAAAATATATATATATATATATATATATATATATATATATATATATATATAATTATTTTTTATAAAAAATTATAACATAAGTATGTTATAAGATCACTACAAAAATAGCTATTTTGTTTCAACACATTCTGTGTCTTCTCAAGTGCTCTACTTTGTATTGAGCACTCTTTTAAGAATAGTAATTGTTGGTTATTGGAATTCATTCCGTATATACCAATTATATACTTTGATATATATATATATATATATATATATTTCTTGAATAATAATCTCACACTTTTGTATTATCAGACTTTGAATTATGGCACTTTGTGTCCTCCACATGTTTTGACTGACCTTCCAAACCACCTATTGAATATTCATGAACATTCTGGAATTTAAAAGCCTTGATAAACCAATGTCACCCTTGCTTTTACATATAAACACGTGCAACAAATCCTACCATTTACCAAAATAAAGTATCTCAGATGATGAAACGCGTCGGCTAAGAGTTTTTCTTCTTGTCTTTTTAATATATATATATATATATATATATATATATATATATATATATATACAAGTATAGGATTGGTGTATACGGAATAAATTTCAATAACTAAAAATACTATTCTTAAAAGAGTGCTCAATACAGAGTAGAGCAAATATGATTATTTATTCGAAAATAACATAAATATAAATAAAATCACTACAAAAATAGCCATTGGTAATTTTTAATTTTTTAATTTTATAGTATAATTTAATATTTATTAGTTAGAATGAATTCTTTTTAGTCTAACCCTAACATTAAGCATTAAATAATTATTATAACCAAAGTTCGTTATGAAGTTTTTTGAATTCGCATATACTTGTATTTTGATTGGTCATTCCAGCTCGTGTAACAGCATTTTCCCTAGGGGGGGGGGGGTTTGATTGATTTGAAACTTTTAAAACCCTTTATTCTACATTCAATAACACCACTTGATAAGACACCAGAAGTGTTGAAACAAAATGTCTATTTTTGTAGTGGTTTTATAAAATATTTGTGTTATAATTTTCGAATAAATAATTATATATATATAGATATATAGAAATATATATCGGAGAGCCGAGTTCGAATTCCAGTCGAATCCACTACATTCACTTATAGTGCTAATACCCTTGGAAAAGGTGTGAATCCTCTTCTTCTCCCTCCAGCTATGGGTAAATAGCAGGACAGACTGGGTTCTATAGCCTTGGATGGCAACTGGTCTAGGAGGACAACTCTGAATTCAAAACCTGCGGGGGGTCGTTTGGAGACCCTGTGGCACTTAGTGCACCAGGTCTCTGTATTCGTCCCTTCAAAATGTGTGGATGGTCCTGCACGAAGCCTTCACCACTATAATCAAATCTCATGTGCTGTTGTCGGGCTGTCGGTTTCCTAGGAACTGATCTGCTTGACCCTCATACATCGAATTCGACGGGAGAGTCGATTATATATATATATATGTTTTTAATAATTGTCGGATTGTGTCCGTAATGCAAGTATATATATATATATATATATATATATATATATATATATATATATATATATATATATATATATATATATTCTGGGAGAAAGATGCATGGCAAACTGGAAAAAGGTTTTGTGACGAGTTTTGTCTGTTACAACTTCATCGGACTAAGTTTGTTGACGGTGATACGACTGCACATGCGCACGAACGAGAGACGCTGAGAATTTTAAATTTCAAAATTACTTTTTTCTATGTGTTTTGGGTATATAATGTAACCGACTTCATTTAGATTCTATTCGTTTTGTTTCCATCACTTTTGTTATTATATATCCCACACTGTGATAACGGAAGATCTACCAAGAATGGTGAAACGCTGTAAGAACCTGCAGACATCAAATGCATCGACAATCTTAGTATGATGAGGATAATCTTAGTACGATGAGAATAATCTTAGTACGATGAGGTATTAAAGTACGAAACGCGTCATGAAAAAAACTTTCACCACTTTGTCATATATATATATATATATATATATATATATATATATATATATATATATATATATATATATCACACCGAAAAAACATGTCAAAATCGCTAGACATTAAGTTACTGGCGAGTAAATGATTTACTTAAATTTAAAAGTAAAATACATCTTTTTACGAAAAAAAGTGGGGGCGGTTATAAGATTATAAAGCCCACAAACTTTATAACCCCCTTTTTTCAGAGATATCATCAAGTCTTCATTCTATCAGCAAACAAAAACTTAGCCTCTTTGGGGACACGTTTATAATTATTACGAGCAGACACATATACTACAATATTACTCTGATACACCCGGAAAAAGTTATTCCTGTGGGCTATAGCGGCTTAACAAGCCGGTGACGAACAAGAAGATTTTGGTTTCACCTGATATTTGCGAGAAGTTACAAAAGCAGTTGATGCTTTTGTAACTTCTTGCAAATACCGGCTTTAACTCAAGAAGAAACCTCTGTGGCACAATTCTCAATAGTAATGTTAAGAATATCAATCCGAAGGGCGTCTCGAATAAAGTCACGAAATGAATCCCAATCAGTATGATGGTAACAGAAAGAAGTCTTGTGAACAGGGGGTTCCTTTCTAATAGACGACTCAAAAAAATATGAACAGATACTACTGCGTGATCCGAATTACCAAAAAGAGGTAAGAAATATTCAATGAGGCACATATTGATCAGATCTATCATGGAAACGAGTGGGGAAATCCACTATTTACGAAACTGGAAAGTCTGAATAGCGGTAATATCAGTAACATTAGAATGCTTAAGACATTTGATGTGATGATTATTAAAATCACCACAACACAAAAATGTTCGCAGATGAATGAAGTGAGAGAGAGCTATTTCTATATTGTCAGAAATCTTATTTACATTATTCAGACTATTGTCCTCATCTTTTTTGCCATATCTATCACAACGTTTCGGCCGTTGTACGCTCCAGCCTTCTTCAGAAAGAAATAAAATAACTAAATCTCCATAGACACATAAAACTGAACCCTTTATTTTGTTCACTGGGGTAGACTAGTTCTACGTTTGGATGTCAGTCAACAGCTGTCCATTTCCCTCTGAAAGTTCTCCACTGCCTTAACCGGGTATTGAACTCATACTCTTGGGGTTCTGTCACTGGATCTAACCAACGCTTTTATCCACTGTGCCATGTGTCCTTGAGGACATCCGGGTATGAATTTCTGGGTATTATAAA